CTTTGGAATGCAAAACTTTGAACTGGCGAGCTGTTGTAAAGAGTTGATATATAAAACCCTGAGTTAAACGATAGACTCGTTATACGTTTCGCTATATGTACATATAGCCTTACCTCCTGCCATTGATCATTCAATTTGAACTGGGTCTTGATGATCAGCATTGCCCCTGACACGACTCCGCAGTCATAGCCGAAAAGAAAGCCACCAATGACAGCCATCGCAGTAATGAAGATGACATGGCCGGTGGTTTTCATCTGCGATAGGTTCCGTTGAGGTACAGAGCCACTTTCCAGCACCTAAATGAAGAACATAAATTCGCAACTAATGAAAGATATAGAAAAACTTACAACTCCAAGTTGGCCCATTGGATCAGATATGAAATTTACTTCTCAGATGTACCAAAAACCTAAACAGAATGCCCAATAAAAATACTATAAACACCAAGTACGGCATTTAAAATTAATTCAACCCTACTGAAATTTGTGATGAATCCAGCGTAGCGGCTACAAGCTGAGATGAGAAGAAGAAGAAGAAGAAGAAGAAGGTTGGGCTCCAATCAGAGTTTGATATAAAACTTAGCCATCGCCCATCATATTACTGCCGCTATGGAAACTTCTATGTGCTTGGTCGTCGCCCCAGGTTTCCAGCGGTAGCGCAGGCTCTGACACTGATCAAAACCTGCTTCATCCCTTCTGGTAGCCGGGGTCGTAGCGGCAAGACAAAGGCTGCCGAAGACTGACAGGGAGATGAAAAATCCAATCAGCGATGGAGCCGCTACCCGTCCTTAACGAAGGAAACAGAGACTGCAATGCACTAGAGCAAATCAGAAAAGGCCTCACGGGAACGGCACCGCCAGTGAGAGCTTACAATCGGAGATTTGAATATATCCTCACTCAGAGGGGAAGTACAGGAGCCTCTTGATGAGGCCGAAAAGTACCAATACCAACTCGTCAGGAAATGGTGTCTCGTCAGCAAAGCGCTGAGGTTCTGGAATTTTGAATTTCTAAAAGTTTAAGCTCTTCATTTACGTGTAGACATCGCCGATGGCGCTGAGGCCGGAGTTGGTGTTCTGGTAGAATCCAACCTGGCTGGCAGAGTCATTAACAGGAAACCTGTCAACGAAACAGTGCCAATCCTCTGACATAGGTTTCAGATTGCTAAAGTTAAAACCTTGTTAGAGACCTTCGC